TCCTTCGCTACCATTAAAAACACCGGACACGGGAATTTTGTTATTGGCCGTTTTGACACTAGAGCTAGAAACAGATTATCCGTCTGAGACTAGCCTGTGTACAGTCGCCCCCTTCCCGACAGACACCCCCTCTCCGATTTTTTTTCTGAGGGGAAGGGGCGGTTGTACACAGGCTATCTAGAACGGATAATCCCGTCTTCAAACTGTCCGTCGAAGTCGAAGGATAGAGTCAGGCGGATTGTTCATGCAAAATTAAAACTATTCCATTTTCAAATTAAGACGTATTACCTATCTGCACGAATCATCAAACGGATAACCCGTCTCACACGAATAATCCGTCTTTAGTGTGAAAAAGGCCATTTCTGTTCTAATGAATGTCGCGTCCAGGCCTTGAGTTAGGCGTTCGCGTGTGTGCTTTGCTTTTTCACAAAGATTATTTTTAAATTGACTTTTGACATTTTTATGTGTAAAATAATATTACAAGTGGAATACTTTATAAAAAGTATGATCTATCAAATGTTAAAATTTTACAAAAGAATAGCTTATTTCATATCCCGAGATGATCCTAAGACCTTTATTTTGCTTTAAAGATACAAAAAATACTGGTTAATTAATATTTAACTTTTTGAAACAAAAGAAGTTAATTTTTAATTTTTTTGTTAACCGTAACTGAAAAAAATTAGCCGATAGCCGTAAAAGAACCAAAATTTTAGCCGATAACCGTAAATGCCACCACCCCATTGAGACCCTCATATAATTAGTAAATAAATTAAATTTGTATGCAGATTTAGAGATCTGCTGACCGCAGCTTTCCCTTTGAAGATCATAAATAACTTTAAGGCACGTAAAATAACACAGTAAAATCGTGCAGTCTCAGTACAGTACCATCAGAATTGAGTTTCAGCACTTACGCGCGCGAACTTTCTGTTTACCTCGCAACAGCCGTCACGTGAGCCATTCTGACCAAGTAGGATCCATTGAAAGGCATGCAAGCAAGCATAGTGACGAAACCGATGAAGTCAATAGAGCGTCAACCAAGTGACCAGGCTTCAGTTGCGCTGAACGTAGTGGTGCATTTGTGTCATAAAACATTACATACTAGGCTAAAAAATGCTACTGTAGTAAAAATGTAAAAACTGTGCTTTCTTGATGTAATAAAGTTGCTGATCATTTACTCGATTCTAACGCGTTGGCTCTGTTTTGGCTGACTATCTTCGCCCTTTGTCTATCGGAGCTATCCTATACAACATGGTTAAAACACGCAAACGCCAAGTTTGGACTTCCAGGCCACTAACGAATGTTGCTCATGGGCACGGGTTGAGGTGGGGTTTTCCTCGTTCTGAATTCCGCTTCGTCAGAACGAGCTAGAACGGACCGCCTTAGTAATTTTGTTACCCACAGTTACAATAGGATTTAATTGTTTTTGCCTTCTGTGCCATGTGTAATTATGTGTTCTGCGTATTCTTGACCTCCCTTGTAATTTAGTGTTACACACTACCAAAAGGGTTTAATAAACTGATTATTATTAAGAAAGCTTTGAGCAGCGGAAAGGAGAGCACATTGTCAAGGTCTTGGGGTTTTAATAGAAGTAAGCTCTTCAAGTGAACAGGCTTTCTATTCTTTCTAGTGGCGGACAGGGGGGAACAGAAGGCGAGAAAACGCTAGCTGTAGACTGAGCCCCTACCCCCTTTCCACACACGCTTGAGACTGCTGACCAAGACGAAAGCGACTTTCCTGATCGTGCACGAATGTCGTAATGTGATGTAATTGTTAGCGCTGCGAGAAAAACTACTCCCACAACGACCACCTTAAAATGGGGACAGAGGTAGGTCGCTCTTATATGGAGTGGTATACTTTGTTGGGGTAGCCTGCGAGAGCAGTACCTTTTTTCGGCTGTTGTTTCACGTTGCCTACTTCACTTTTGTAAACAGTTGTGGCCCTTTCCTTCCTCGCCGCAGACTTTTAAACAAGCTCAATTTCTTTTTTTATTTTTATCATAAATAATTAAAAACAAAGGCAAAGAACTTACCATGTATTGGGAGGATTTTTTTCACGGTCCATTTTATGCATTTTAAAAATCACCAACCCAACTTTTTTATCCTCTCCTTCTTACTTGTACAGAGCTTCTCGTAAACTTTTCCTTTTGAAAACCAGCGAGTCTTGTGGCGCCTAGCGGTAGCAACTGAACTGTTTCCGACATTCCTTCCACATTAAGCATTATTAAAGTCGCCAAGAGCACTTCTCGTACCGGTTGTGTCTTATTCTTACTTGTAAACATCTCCTGCAGATGCTTCCGCCAGCTCAATCCCGTCCGAAATATAAAGCTGCATGGCGCACACAGTTTCAAAACTGCGCGTTATGTTGGACATATAGAAACGGACATATAAACAATTTCAACCTCGTTCCTAGGGTCCTTTCTCTTTGTCCTTGAAGCCTGGGAATGAGAGACGAATCCACCAAAATGTCCAAAATGGTTAAGTTTAACCCAGGATGAAGCCAAATTTTAAGCAAGGTTTTCTTTTCTAAGAACATGTCACTTGAGCTTACAAAATACTACCAGATACTGTTGTGGCTTTACTTCGAAATTCAGTGATGATAACAAAGAATGTTACTCTAAGCAATGCATAGGATTGTAAATACAAATTGGATTAATGCTAATCGGGGACCGGTTCCTGAAAGGCCGATTAGCGCTAACCAGGATTAAAATTTTGGTCCATATTTGAATTTTACCTTCCTGTTTATTGCTTAGAGTAACATTTTGTGCTAACATTACTGTATCTCGGAATAAAGGCTCAACAATACTTTGTAAGCTCAAGTTGCATGTTCTTAGAGAAGAAAACCTTATTTACTTAAAATTTGGCTTAATCCTGGGTTAAAATTAACCATCTTTTGAGGAACCGGGCCCTGATCAATACAGCACATGAACAGCGCACGTACGCATCATTCTTTCTTGAGGTAAGTAAGTGGCATTGTCCAGACTAGATTTTTTCAAGGCAAAGCTGTGAAATCTGCGCAGCTCAGTACCTTCTAGGCTAGCCCTAAGCAAAATAAGAGACTAATCCAAGTCAAAATAAAGCTCTTCATTATGGATAAACGATTGATTTTGTTAACGTTTATTTTCACATGCGTAAATGATTCACTTTCTTTTTTCATTTTTATGGTCCTCCCGGGGGGGTGGGGGGGAGGGGGGAGGTGCGCGGGCTCATTTCCCGAACAGCGGCTGGTAATCGAGCCACATGGATATCGTGATCGATATTTTGACCAAAAGTGTAGAAAAGCGCACAAACTTCAAGACACAGTTCACTAAGTACACAAAATAACAGACTACAACTTATAAATATAGATGGAAGCAGTTTTTGAACAATAGTTATCTTTGCTAGTCCTTTGGATTGCTCACTAAATTCCAGACCCCGTCGCATACGAACTTAATTAACCCCTAGAGCGCCTTAACATTAACAACATTCGCATTAAAATATCTTTTGATTGCACACTTTTATAAACGGACCTCCCAACGAAAAAATTTACAACCACTTTTAGACTTCTTTTTGTCAGCATTTGCACCAGAAGTTGTTCTCCCGTGACTAAAAGAGCATGTAAAGAAAGCTCTTCCCTGATTGGGTCCCGGATTGATGACCGCTCTGCGCCGAGTACGACGCCCACAGTGACACAGGGGTGGGGTAATACCACCTCCATTGAAGCAAGCCACACGGGTAGTAACGGGGGAGTTCATGTTCCCATTAAGGGGTGGGCTGAAAGAAGGAAATTTTCGTATTGGAGTAGTACATGGTTTGTTTAAGTATATTGAACTGGGAGTGGTTACAACAGTTGCTGCTTTTGCCATTGGTTTGTTTATAGCTATTATTCCAATGTTATTCGAAGCTACTGCTATAGATTTATTGTTTTTTAGTCCTTCTACCAGATGTCTTTCTTCGATTAAGCTTTGGTTTGTTGGTAACCTGAACAGGGGCGTTTTCACACTCCGAGGTTCANTAAATTCCAGACCCCGTCGCATACGAACTTAATTAACCCCTAGAGCGCCTTAACATTAACAACATTCGCATTAAAATATCTTTTGATTGCACACTTTTATAAACGGACCTCCCAACGAAAAAATTTACAACCACTTTTAGACTTCTTTTTGTCAGCATTTGCACCAGAAGTTGTTCTCCCGTGACTAAAAGAGCATGTAAAGAAAGCTCTTCCCTGATTGGGTCCCGGATTGATGACCGCTCTGCGCCGAGTACGACGCCCACAGTGACACAGGGGTGGGGTAATACCACCTCCATTGAAGCAAGCCACACGGGTAGTAACGGGGGAGTTCATGTTCCCATTAAGGGGTGGGCTGAAAGAAGGAAATTTTCGTATTGGAGTAGTACATGGTTTGTTTAAGTATATTGAACTGGGAGTGGTTACAACAGTTGCTGCTTTTGCCATTGGTTTGTTTATAGCTATTATTCCAATGTTATTCGAAGCTACTGCTATAGATTTATTGTTTTTTAGTCCTTCTACCAGATGTCTTTCTTCGATTAAGCTTTGGTTTGTTGGTAACCTGAACAGGGGCGTTTTCACACTCCGAGGTTCAATATTTGATGCCTTGCATGGTTGGTTACAGGCAGTGTAATCCTTTTGTCCCGTTCCAGGTAATACTCGCTGATTATGGCTTCTCAAAGGTGTATGCTGATGGTAGTTCAGTGTCTGTTTAGCAAGACCTCTTTTCACAAGAAACCCTTGTGTTGAGCAGCTCTGCAGTTCACTCTTAAACAAACCATCACAGCACCCTCTTGCTCTTTTGTTCAGACTTGATAAGCACGTGGCAGGAGTTATAAGAGACTTGGGAGTGTTTCTGGGTGTGGCTCAGACCCCATCGCAATTCACAACAGGAATGCCTTCACAAACAGAACTTACCGATGCTCTCCTTTTATTTTGGCCATTTGCTTCACTGTTTTTCCCACTCTTCACAGCTCCCCAGCTTTATTCCCTTAGATTCGTCATTTTGTTTTCAGGAAACTGGTCAGCTCTGGCACCTGTCAGTTCCCTTTTTACAGTGAAGCTCTGTAGTGTGCCATGTACATGTACATCATGACACTCTTCTTGAGCCTTACCAAAGCTTAAGATTTCGTTTACACTTGTCTCTTCAGTGCAGCTTTCAGACGGTTTAACGTGATGATTTGTCAATCTATTTCCAGGAATCTGGACAGATCTGGGCTCTTTTATCTCGCTTTTCACAGTGGTCTCCTGTCTTGTGCCATTTCTGCATTGATTCTGTGCTTGAAAATCGCCAAAGTTTAAACTTTTGTTTACACTTGTTTCATCGGTAAAGTTTTTAGACGGTCTAGCGTGATGTTTGTCATGAAGAACTTGCATATCTTCAGACATCAAATCACTCTGGTTACTGATACGGAATGCCCCAGTACCGTTTGCTTTCAAATCATTTTGGGAAAGACCAGGTTTCATAGTCACAATGTTCCAAAGTTTTTCCACTGCCTAGAACAACAAAATTAATAAAGTCTTAAGATTATGTTTGAGAAATAAGCAATTTAAGAGATTTAATTAGCGGAATCGTTCATAGAGAAAGAGTTAACTCGCCACTACTTAGTCTTCCACGCCTACGTTCTTAACGCGTGACGAACCCCTAAGAACGTCTGCGTGGGAGGCTAGCCACTGCTGTAATTATGCAACCTTTAGTGTCATTTTTCCTCCCCGTTTATGATAAATTTCTTGGGACGAGCCCATTCAAGATTACGTATAAAGCAAGGATCAGTGGCTATAATAGGTCATTTCTAAAAAAAATGACAGTTCATTTTTGATCTTTGTAAGAGAAAAAACAAGGAACACTAGTCTTGATTTTTCTTTTTTTTGGGGAAATTTTCACTTTTAAGCTAGGTTGGTGAGGATAGTACAACAATTAAACAACTACATGTACGCATCATAAATTAATTTTATTGTTCACCATAGATTATATTAACTACATTTTTGAAAAACTTTGGTCAGTGTAATTAATAAACGGGGAGCAGTCTATTGTAACAATGCAACAAACTCTGCTTTGCTCAGATACCACTTAAGTTTATCTTTTCGATTACTAACTTGCTCCGCATTGTTTGCAAAAATGTTTACTATCCTGTACACTTCGGTGCAAAAATGTCATTCCTTTTTAGCAAAGGAGTAATTATTATTTTGTCTTATTTTTTTAGCTCTATGTTCTAGGTATATTCACCCCATCAGTGCTTTTTGTTATCTGCATGATGCATCCATCAGACACCATCCTCCATGCTAAGCGAGCTGTGTTTCGAGCATCATCCAGACCTTTAATAAATAAATAAAAAAAACTGAATAACAATTTAGAGGTACATCCTTCTGGTGGTTCCTCGTCTACCTGGTTCCTGGTCGCATTGGAAATTGGTAATGTTGGCTTTGAGGAGGGGGGGCTGGAGTACCCGGAGAAAAACCTCTTGGAGAGAACTAACAACAAACTCAACCCACATTATGGTGTTAATGCTGGGATTAGAATCCAAGCCACATTGGTCAGGCTCAGTCTCAAATTATTATATCAAGACTAGTTTATCCTAAGTTGAGGAGACCTGACTCATTATAAGCCTGGTGGTTTCTTTCAGGTCTCGTCACCATTTACTTTTTCTTTAATCGCATATTATTTCCATCTTGCGTTGTAAAATTTTGTATATATGGCAAATAAAGAATAAATGAATGAATGAATGAATGAATGAATGAATGAATGGGAGTCTCCCCCGTGGATGCATAGAGACACCTCAGGCTGGAGACTGAGCCTACACATTGGTCGGAGGTGGGTGCTCTCAACACTGCACCAACCTTGTTCGCTATTGTCCATTTGTTGGACAAACCAACAAATGCTGGACAACTGTATTTTTCTATTTTAATTATTTTGTTTCCCTTGTTAGACCATTTCCAGTAGTTTTTTCACATCTCAATGAAAAAGTGTATTAATTAAATCAGAAGGCAATGGAAACCTGTTTTTTCAAAGAATACTTAATAGTACCTGAATGTTCTCTACCAGCAAATTGAATCCCAAGGTCTTGAAGAGCCCCTGCCAGTCCTTGAGGCTTACGACTGTAAAAGTTCTGTAGAATAAATAAGGCGAAACTAAATAAATTATTTCATTTACAGAGAAAAACGTTATTTCTTTTAACTTAAAACATCATAGCAAACCAAAGAAATTTGTCTCAATGCAAGTAGAGAAAGAATCTTTTGTGCAGTCTAGGATAGACTCATCAAGATTAGATGTCCTGCGCCAGATGCATTATTCCTTGCAATTGCAGGGTGACTAATATAAGACAGGCTAGAAATTTGGTGAATTGCTACTCCTTTCTCAGTATTCATGGACTGAAAAGAACAGGACTGTTCTCCATCTTGCTGGGATTTACTGTTGTTAAGTACTATGTGGAGTACAATTCACTGTATGTACATATTTACGGCACAAAGGGTTTCATTTATCGTTTGTCTCATGATAGTCACTTTGACATTGATTGTGCCACTTTGACCACATACTGCAGGTTTTCATCAGGCAATATTGTTGATTTACTGAGTAGGACTATTTGTACCACTGTGCAATGTAGGCGATTATTGCATAAATACTTAATTTTTTTTTTCAAGATATTGCTAGCTGTCATACACTAGCTGGCTGACCAGTCGCAAAACTCCTACTAGAGCATTTTATGGCAGGATAATTTGTCACAACTCTTAATTTTATTTAATCTAAGGACAAAAATAATCTTACAAGGTCTTAACATTCAGCCCTTGTGCACTTTTAGTCAGTCAACAGAACAAGCTGTCATGAGAAGACTGGAGGCAGCAATTTTCTAGTTTGCTCACTCCCAATTTTAAAATATTATGATAACTCTCCTGTACAACCATCTTAAGGAACTACTAGCGGTGAACTTGTCCCTTAGGCACCATTGCACTATACAAACCTTGTATGTAGCTCGCAGGTCAATCCAGCTTCTTAGGGGATGTGGCACTCTTAACTACTTTCTGTAGCATTCATTCTTGAGACAAGTTCCCAAATCCCAATCTTCATCATTGAATATATGTTGATTTTAAAGGAAACAAAATCAGAGATCTAAATGACTCAATAGTCAAAAATATCCAATATAGGCCTAACGCAGGCCTTTGAAAAATAAGCCCCGGTGCTTTTTTTCAAATTTTGTAGTTGTCTGAAATGCTTCTTCTAGTTGTTTAGTACTAAACTACATGTATAAAAGTTTCTCTGAAGATAAAAAACTTTATTTTTATTATAATAACTTGACTCCCTTCTCTTTATTCCTACATCTCTATCAGTGAACCAGGGGTTTCAATAAAAATGGAAGTAGCCAGCTGGTTTTAAAAAAGTGACTGGTTGTATCAAAAATAGGCTTTTACTCCCCTTCTTCTAGAGAGGTCTGGGGGCGTGCACCCCTGGAAAATTTCGAAATTTCAATACCTTTAAATGCAATTCAAGCATTCTGGGCACCGGATTAAGTGCAAAAGATAATGTATTTTCAATCAATTTGGGGAAGTAATGCACAGGAAGTCCCAACTTTTCTTTAACATTTTAAATCTGAAGCAAAAGGCCTGTCTAGGTCCAGCAAATTGAATTTAAATTTCAGTTTTGACAGAATCTATCTTTAATTTTATACTTTATTTCCAGCTTTCAATTAAGGAGGAAAAGGTAGCCGACTCCTCTAAGCAAAGGAAGCCGATGTGTTTCATCAGTCGTCAGTGATTATTGAAACCCCTGGTGAACTAATAATCAATTATTTCATAACATGCACATTGAAATTGCCCTTTAGGAGGAGAAAATTGAGATAGAACTGGACTGATCGTAGAGAATTCAATCAAATACCTGACCATGTCACAAATTTGCACCATTTTGTCAAATTCTCTGTGGGCTCATTTTCATCTTTGTTTAAAATCTGATCGTGGGGTTTAATCACTTATTCAAGGGAGTGCTTATCAAATATTTTTAATTTTACATCAGCCATCATGGGCTCCTGCCATTTGCTGTTGTAAAGAAATACACTGTACACACAACTTGCGTGTATTTACATGTACAACAAGCAAAATCAGTCACCATAAAAATACACGAAAATTTGAGGGTAGAAAGGCTGCGTGTAAGAGCTTGTGCAAAAAAATTACACAGGAGTTTTTGGCGTGGAAATCTACCATATTGTACACAATTTACACACTTGTAAGTGTTGCAATGCCCATGGTCTGTACTGTAGGAGGGTGCTAAATTGAAGAGGGGGTAATAATCTTATTCGGAGGTGGATGCTAATTCGAGCTTAATTATATGATCCGTAACTTCTGATTAAATGTGCAACAGGATCAGAAGGAAACAATTAAAAGTGTAGGCTACTGTACCTGAGTGATACCTGTTAGCTCTGTACAGAACTCACTAAGTCTTGTGTGCTCACTTGGTTGTACGAACATGTGAAATTCTGATTCCATCTCACCAGTGGAAGTATTTAGAAGCACAGGAGGAAATTCAACTGCTCAAAACAAAAACAAAATAAATGACAAACATATTAAGGAAAACAATAAGGTACATTAGCCTAAGTAAAAGATCCTAAGTAACACATTGTTATCTCTTACATGTAAGTCTTCCTTTGCTTAACAAGCAAAACAATGGGTGAGGACAGGGAGAAGGGAGTCCCGGGACAATAGGGGGCAGGAGGGGTACAGAAGGCAGGAGAGGAAAGGGTACTGTGGGAGATGAGAGTTCTAAAAGGAGAGGAAGTGGGAGAAATTACTCAATAATTGCAATGAAAACAGTGCTAAAGGGGAAGCCAAGGAAAAAGGACAGGAGCTGTTAATGCAAGGTACGGGAGTCAGAAGGTTTGGACCCTCCAACTCCCCGCAACCAACCAACCACCCACCAGGGATGCATGGAAGATGTCCGAGCTAACAATCATATAGCACCAGATAGTATCAACAGTGAACAAAAAGGGAATTCCTCAATTTAATTTTGATTAAATCCGAACAGTGTGTGCACTACACTTAAAGTCCCGACTCACTTTATTAATGTAGAGCTAGGGTTCAAATTGTCAGTTTTTCAATCTTTAATTCTGGTGTTATATTCAGTGAGGCTATCAAGTCAGTTGTTAGCATAAAGTCACCAGAAATGAGCACTTCTTTTGCTTATCAAGGCTTAAAGAACGAGATACATTACTCACTTGTCAGACTTCTTTTGTCTCATCATAGCACATACAATATACACATAAATTGCATTGTTATGTCTCATGGCTTCAAGAGCTAGATATTTTTCACACACTCCTATACTCATTTTTATTTCTCTGTGTATTGTGCCTGATAAAATTTTGGGTGACATAACTATATTAATATAAACTTTCAGGTAACATAACTGTGGTTTCACATGACACAGTATCTTCAGGCAAGATGACTATCGGTCAATTTGATGGGTTACCGAAAGTAGTTTTCAAAACCAAAATTTTTGCTATGACAGCCTCAGAGTCTCTGAGGAAAATGTTCACCTAGCACATGCTGAAGAAGGTCATTGGGTCCGGATAATCTGCGAGCCAGCGAGCCATGCGAGGCGTGCGAGCCATGCGAGGCATGCGAGCCATCGGAAAATATAAATTTTTAATAATATTCTAATTGGAAATAGTTCGTTTTGTAATTGGTTTTGCTGCTGGAAATGTGCTTTCAATCGCGAATATTAAACCGCGATGGCTCACGCCGTGGCCATGTTATTTTGGACGCGAACAGTCTGGGTCGAGGGAGAGCGACAAATTTTGACTTTCTCTCCCCTCTCTGATAGTCTTTCTCTCCTGTTTCGTTCTTGCGAACCGTTCAGCGTGCTCGTGGCCGGATCTTCAAAAAATCTTCAATCCTTTTGGACAATCCAGTTCAGTCGAATCAATCTAGCAATAAACTTATACCTGCCAACTCTCACGCCTGCGGGTTGAAAACTTCGATCTCACGCCGGCTCACGCTTGCGGGCCAATTTCTCACGCCTGATTGAAAAATGTGAGTTGTTGCCGTCTTGCTTGACACAATTTCCAAAAATATGTTAACTCAGACCAATGTAAGGAACGAAAACCATGTGTAAAATGAATAAATGACAATACCTTCCTCGCGATCTCTGAATTTTGAAGTGAAAAGCAAGTGAAAACTTCGCCTTCGGCAGACTTCAGACGTCTGCGGAAGACTTCGGACTTCTTCGGGAATCTTCGGAAATGATCGTGTCGTCTTCAAAAATCCCAGCACTCCCAGGATAAAAATCTCACGCTTATATCTCAGAAAAAGTTGGCAGGTATATAAACTGCTTCTAAAAGTGAGTATTTACCTGATTTACCGTTGCTTTAGTCTGTTGTCAGATGTTTTGTGCAATGAATTATTCATCATTGCTAATGTTTTATGTATTTTATTTAGTTCGCAGATGGCAAATCAACGCACGCAGTGTCTCGTTGAAGCAAGAAGCGTGGTTTCACGCTAAACATCGATCTAAGCGGGGAAAGAAACCGTTGCTTCTATCAGTGTTTGTTGTCATTGTTTCTGTACGAACAAAAATATATTTAATACTTTAAATTCTGGTGTTAAAACCTTAACTGTCTTTTCTTGAAGTTTTTTAAAAGTGGCATACCACGTAATCAAGAGAAAGGATTTAGAAACATGTTACAAACGCTTTGCGCGTTTTGAAAACGATACGGTTTCATCGTTCGTGTAGATAGGTTTTCAGATGGCTCGCATGGCTCGCTGCCATGGCTCGCATGGCTCGTATGGCTCGCTTGTATGACTCGCATGGCTCGCATGGCTCGCTGGCTCGCACTCTATCCAAACTCAGGTCATTGAATGGAGCCCTGAGTTCCTACACAATCAGCTCATACTATTGATGACTTACTGATCTCAGGACCATAGTTCATTTTCTTGTCTTTCCAGCATGTTAATTCAAAGTCAAGAACAATCATGTATGTAAAATATTGGCCTGTCGTTGTTAAAAAAAGATAACATCAATAGAGAATTTTACAATATATAATTGTCAAAGATTTAACGACAGTATAGTAATCTGCAAGCCTTTTTTCACTTTATGATCTAATAATAATTGATTAAAATTATTTTCTTTAATTTGATCATTGATGAAAATCTAGCATTTGTAGCTTGTAGATAGCAGAAAATCTAGCATTTAAAAATACAAAGGAACAATGTATATATATATATATATTGCATTATCGATACAGATAATTTACATTGATTCGAGATTCAAATTTAAAGACAGCTAAAAAAAACTAAAGAGGTGTTAAGCTTACTAATAAATTCAGTGTCTATAAATATAATTATGTGCTTCTTCTCCAAATAAATTGGATTTCTTACTTGGTTTTTTCTCCTTTTCTTGACCCTTAGATCGGCTCGTGGAGGATGAGGGCCTCTTCTTTACAAGACCTAAACATTTAAAAACGAGCAGGGCGGTGAAGAAAATCAATTGCGGCTGGTTTTGTAAATAATTTAAGACATGTTTCTAACAACGCGCGCTGCAACGAGAAAAGGAAAAGAGCAAGCCGATTGAAATGACCACCGTCTATGACCGCTTGATCGCGTTCTTACCTTGCTAATTCTTTCGCAGATACTGCGTTTGAAGATAATGGCTGCAGTGATGTATCCTTTCGAGACGTATGTGAAAGAGAAGGCGTTAAAAGAAACGAGAAGCAGCAGTTATTGCCAACGAGCCATCCGAGCGAAGACGCTCGGATGGCGAGGCGGCAGCAGAATAGAGCCGCGCAAGACTGGGCCATAGGCAGAAAAATTCTCGATCGAGCTGAAAAAACCTAATGTAATGTAGATTCCCCTGAGACCAAGTGGTCAGTTGTGAACCAATCAAAAGGCAGTACCAGGCGCACGGGCTCAAGTTGAATAGCAAACAAAATTTCACACACTTCCCGCCGTCGTGACTTCCTGTGTTTATTTACCTAATTTTTTTCGTCAAACCCGGCCATCGCAGTCAAGAGACATGAGCACTTGATATATTCTGTTAATTTTAGGGGCCATAATGTTAAGTTTTAACGAAGAGAAGTTTGTAAAACAGCAAAAGTGTTCTATGTGCAGCAAGCAATATTCTCACCACTAAAAAGGATCAGATTACACGAGGAGATAAGGAAAGCTCGACACGAAGAATGCAGTCGCTTCTGTTGGAAAATCTGGTGTTTGGGAAAAAATCTGACCGGCAAACAAAAACAATGAGAACGAAAACGAATTACAAGCCTAAAGCGAACGACAAAGGAAAAAAAAACAACGCCATTTTTTTCGAAACGTGGCCGAGTTCAGTATAAAAATAATGAACTAAAATTAAATACCGACGTGCCGTACATCGCATGTCCTTGGAAACATTTCAGATGCCCCAGCGAATCATTCTAAGTTTCAATCCGATAACAAAAAGCCTCGGGAAATTTGAAAGGAGTTTTAAATGATTAAACTGTGCAAATATTTATCAACAATGTGAAACCGAACCGACAGTAGATTTGTAGCTGGACTTAATAATATTCCCGATCGCTTCCTCTGCAAAGCTGACTTTATTCTTTCAAGGCACTTCACACTTTTACATAGCAGGTTTGTAAAGCCACTGAATCTGAGCACTTTTCAAGAAAATAATCCTTGCAACAGGAAGGGACCAAGAAACGGTCAAACGGGAAAAAAAAGGAATTTTATTCCTAAGCAAAATACGCATGATTTGCTCGTTGGCACTCTATCGATAGGTATACCTAGTATATATTTTAGACAAGTATCGGCTGAGTTTGCCGTGTTCAAAATTGGCGCATTCTAAGCATGCTCAGTATAAACTTGTTCCTAGTCCCCTTCGGTCCTACGCACGGGAACGGGGGCTAGAATTGGAAGGCGGGAACGCGAGAATTAAAAATTTCTAAAGCTAGCAACGGGTAAATTTTACCGTGTCATTTCACTAAGTCAGTTTACTCAGGAACGTAGATTCGGTCTCCAGCCACGGCTAGGAGCACAGTTTTATTCGCCACTTGTCCGTTGGGTCATGACTTTTACAACCTGATTATGCATAAACACGAACTTCTCCCCACTCCACCTCTAACAGGATTCAGGAACGATTTGGTTACTGCGAATAGATTCGGTGGTTTGTAGGGGGGAAGGAAACGATCATCTTAGTGAACGATATCGGATATCGATACATCTTCAATAAACTCAATGCTACGCGTTCATCGTGCAGTGGTTTTCAAAAGTAAATTTCGGTACTGTAAGACACAAATGGAAAGGGCGAAATTCAAAAGAATGCTCATCTTTTGGTGGAAAAAGAAAAGCTTTCAGTTACAAATTTTGCCCTTGAGGACTTTAACCTTGTTTTCTTGGTGCAAAGTGCAAAGAATCGAGGGGGGAATCAAGACATTCCAAGTGGAGGCCGAGCCTAAAATGAACGTCAGTCACTGTAAAATCTTTCCGACTCACTCTAAGGTTCCTTTGTTAAAAAAGAAGGGAAAAGTTGAAAGAGTCACTTTCGACAAGCATTAATAACAAGTGAGTATCGGACCTTTCTTAGGGGTTATGAAAGAAATATTTTTAGAGGACGAGACGGGGAGGGACAGCTCTGTGAAACGTTATTCACTTTGTCTTCGATTCATTTACCGATGATTCTTCAGTATCAATGCTTCAGAGAGGCTGTACTCCACCGACCATCTTGTAAGCTAATATACAGCGAACAGTTCGACGTTGCTGGCACTTTCAATATGGCTGTCGGGTTTGGAATCGTTACAGGAGCATTTCTCGCCACATTCGCCAAATATTTCTCCAAGCGCTGGTTTATTTGGGTCATGGGAATGTTAATTGCTGCCGAAGTTGCCATGTTTCTCAACGCTGGAAATCAAAAGAAGAGCAGGGAAAGCGAGGAAAATTAAATCAGTATATATTCAAAATGACTCTTTCTATTAAAGTGAGATAATTTTCTACTTTTATCCGCTTGTCAACTCCCGAGGGGACAAATGGTTTCAATTTATACCGAGATATTTTACATGATCAAAACTTAAATCAGAGGCAAGCAATACAAGAAAGTCAGAAGATAATTTTGCACTGTTACGCTGAGAGCAGTTCGCGTAATTTTGCACCTGAATTGACCAGTTTTCTAAAGGACTGACTGAGGTAAGGTTACTGAATTAATATGTTCCATGGGTTCTATTCAAACTAGATCGAATAAGATTTCCACGTCAGGTGCTAAACGTCTTTGCTTTGCATTTTGTCCCTCATGTATTGAAGTTGTTGCCGATGATCTGGACCGGCTTTCTGCAATTATTTCTTCTTTTAATTTTTTTTCAGCAGCGGGGCCACTCTTGACCAGAAGATGACCGAGCCTTTGTTTTTGGACAAGAATGCTCTGTGACCTGAGTAACATCAACTCCGTACGTAGAGCGTTTGGTAATCATACAACTAGTGACCATCCAGTCTCCAGATGGACTGAACTCAGTTTTGCCGTTTAGACACTTGACTAAGAAAAATGCTGCTGTAGTGAAAGTTGTAAAAATTAAATTTTTTCTGATGTAAGAAATTAGCTGATTTCTTTCATGCTGTCGCTCAGTTTTAGCCTAGTAATTTTCTCTGACTTAAGTCTAACTACTGAGATATACTCACTGAGAGCTGTATCATAAATTTTCATACGCAAACGAGTTGTAGCGAATCAGAGGAGCGAATGATGTTTTTTTACGTGTGAGGAAAATGATACGTCCAGAAGTTCGGGATTGAAATTAAAGTATGCGCGCGAGGTGGAATGCCAAAAGTATAACCATTAAAATTACAGTCTTGCGTGGAATTTTGGGTCGCCATTACGTTATTGAAGAACCCTATCGGAGATCCTCTCATTTCTTTATACAACGTGGCTTGCAAAGCACGTCATCGGCAAAACTATAGAAAATGGCCTAAACTACCGCGCCAAGGTCCGTATAACTCCTTCACTCCCAAGATTGACCAAAGAAAAAATTCAACAAAATATCCAGCTTTCATGGGAAGGTATTTGAAGGGTCAGCCCATCATTCAGTCTGCGAGTGAAACGGTTAAGTACAGGCTCAACTAAGCTACATAGTCTGTCCTTTGTAGGAGAAAGAAAAGGGCTCCTCTTTCTGCATTCTTTATAACAGAGCAAAAAAAAAACATCAACCGCCTTTTCTCTGCATGTCACTAATCACTTATTAATCAACTATCGGGGTCTGCGGGGTGACTATCGTTGCTAAATATTGTATGCGATTGATAGGGCACACAATCACGTTGTATTCATTCGATTGAGCTTGAAATCAGTAGTTTTCCCTATTCCCTGTTGTTGAAACAGTGAACGATAAAAAACAAACTGACTGTTGCACTGGATAGAAGCCCAGCGTAATGCGAACATCAGTCCCAGTGCATTTATGCAAATACAAACACTTAGATACTGCAAAGGAAGTGAAGCAGGAAAAATGTAACAAACTCCAAGTAAAGTTCTTTGATCGATACTGTAATAAAGATGATATATCGTGTCTGCTGCCCGTCAGGAAAAACTCCCTTAGCTAAGGAGGTTGGGCTCCTGACTACGAGTAGTCCCCATTTTCCCTCAAGAATGAAAGAGTGCTATCCCTGGGGACTGGAACTACTCGTAGTCTAGGTTGAAAATAATACAAACTGATTATGAGTACATCAACGACGAACTACAATCAATTCAAATGACACACACAAAAAAAGTAATTGACAAACGAAATCAATTAGGCACCGACGTCAGCTTAGAATGATCACCTCAGTAAATCCCGCCCTTTTATACTTGAGTCTCCGTGACAGCTGTCAATAAGTTGGAACCGAGAAAACTCTAATTTGCTGCTATTCTTAGAACCGTAGCAAATAACAATGTTATTCTCATCAGTCCACCGCATTCTCGGATATACTCAGGGGCAATTAGTCGATCGAACGAATTCAACGTGATGCATTTGTTGTCGTACATTAT